AGGCCACCCACTCTCCAGCCCATAATCTCTCACCCATTGCTCTGTAAGCAAGCCTAATAACCTCATTGATTTTTCAGAGTAAACTCAAATGAACCAGGTCCTCAGTTTGCTGGTTTGTTTGTGTCTTGGAAGGAGGAGATGTTTGTGTCTCTCTTAGGGAAGACATTTTAGCAGCAGGTTTGATCTCACTTGTACTTGCAATCTAAAATGGTTAAGCACATTCGGAGCAGAATAGATGTTACCAGAGACTGGGAGTTGATCCTATAGGGATAGGGGCATGCAAGCAAATGGGTCAGTACCAGGTGTCAGCCCAGTTTCTTTACCTGCATTTACCACACCTTCTCCAGACAATGCTCTAGTCAACCTCAGAGCTTCCTCAGACCCCACCTGCAGCAGACTAGACACACACCTCCGTGTAAGTTTTTCTACCCCTGAAACAATCAGATTCTGATAGTTTCTGTTTGTGGATATTCCCAATGTATCAGGGTAGGAATCATGAAAACGCTGAGGATTCAGCTTGAGCTGGTTTGGGATGCACACCCATTGAGGCAAAACTGTTCCAAAAGTGAACTTTTAGGGAAACTCTCCTACTTACCATCTGTAGTTGGTTATTTTCACTCTTTGCTCTTTGGGTGCCCATCACCCAGCTCCCCAATAAATCCACAAAGACTTATTCTTACTTATGAATGCCTGGCCTTAGCTTGGTTCATTTCTAGCCAGCTTTTCTTAAATTATCCCATCTACTCTTTGCCTCTGGGCTTTTAGCTTTCTCTATTCTATGTGCCTCTCTTTCCTTCTTACTCTGTGACTTACTGTGTGGCTGGGTGGCTGGTCCCTGGCATCCTCCTCTTTTTCCTTTTTCTTACTCCTCCTCTTCTCTCTTCTCTTATTCATTCTGCCTGGCAACCCCACCTATTTCTCTCTCCTGCCCAACTATTGGCCATTTAACTCTTTATTAGACCAATCAGGCTGGCAAAGTAACACAGCTTTACAGAGTTCAACAAATGCAACATAAAAGAACGCAATACATTTTTGCATCACGAAACATATGTTCCACAGCATAAAGGGAATGTAACCTATCTTTAACTAATATTCCACAACAACCATTTTGTGCTTATGAATAATTAAGTATGCCTATAGTTAAAATCATATGCCGTGGGAAAGGACATACATAGTAAGGGGGGAAGTTACATAGTCTGTCAATCAGAACAGAGAACCACCCTATTTAGTATATAATTATCTCTTGTACCATATAAAACGAAAGCCCCAAACAATAATCAAAGCCTAAGTGGCCTCAGTCATATATAGTATATATTATCACTTTGCTTCAAAAAATTATTTTGCTACTTTGCAATCTGTGTTAACCCTTAACTTTAGTTCTCTGGACAAAAGGCCAAGAATCTGGAACCAAGTCTGCCACTAAATGTATTTTGACTGTGTTGTTGGTAAAGGTAGATTATGTAGATAAGGTCCATTCTCTAGTTGGATACAATTTTAAAAAATAAAAAAAAATCTCCTTGCCAATATCAAACAACAATAATGAAGAACAACCATGAATGAGACAATGATAGGAATAGGAATGGACAAAGGTGAGGAACTGGGGCCTTTGCTGGGTGGTGGGGTGGAGAGCTAAGCACACTGAGTGATGCTACCCACAACTCCTCTATGTGGAGGGCAAAGAGGACATCTGGGCTAGGGCACAGGAGCCTGGAAGGCACACAGGACTGAGGCAGCAAAGGGCAATCACACAGGAATAAAGGCACCAAAAATAAACCTGCAGCCTGGGTCGGCTTTGTCTGATCCTGTGGCCTAGAAACAGTCAAATTCTGAAATTGGATTAAGGAAATCCTTGGTTAGTATAGCCCTGGGGCCTGGGAGACACAAACCAAGGAGCAGTTGTCATAGGCCTCAAAGTATTTCTGTAAATAACTTCCAACATGATTTCCTACACACACTTCAGCTTGGGCTCCGTGGTGTGTGTGTGTGTGTGTGTATGTGTGTGTGTATGTGTGTGTGTGTATATGTGTGTGTGTATGTGTGTGTATGTGTGTATGTGTGTGTATGTGTGTGTGTATGTGTGTGTATGTGTGTGTGTGTGTGTGTATGTGTGTGTGTCTGTTTAAAGACGGGGTCTTCTGTAGCACACATATGCTGCCTTTGAACTCTAGGTCCTACTACTCTGCTCCTGAGTATTTGATCCAAAGTGGGTCCCCCCAAAATGACAGTGCTGGTGACAGTGTCCTAAACAAAAGAACTCTGACCGGGTAAGCAGAAGGATTGTTACTGGGTAAACAGATACCTAAATTCAACGTTCCTCGGGAATCTCATGAGGTGGGATTTTACTTCCCTGGACCTCCCATAATCAACTACCTCAGGCAGGGCATCTAATTCCCAAGGTGAGCTGGACAGCCTGTATCAGCTCAAAGGCCCAACTCTGACGGCTGTCATAGAAAACCTACTTGCTTTTCAGGTTTCTTGCTTCTCTCTGCCCTCTCCACTACCTCAGAGATAGCCTTGGTAGTTGGATCCCCAATACACCTTTCTTTCTACTCAAGCAGTGGTCTGGTTTGGTGGTTTCAGGGCACCCTCACTTACACTGAATACTAGAATTATAGGCATATGTCACTAGATACAAGTTCAAACATCTAAAAAATAGTATATACATCATCTGGGTATGGTGGTGCATGCCTGTAATCCAACACATGTGAAGGGGAGGCAGGTGGATCAATATTTCAAGGCTCTCATCAGCAACCAGAATTTGAGGCTAGCCTTGGCTACCTGAGACCCTATTCCAAAACAAACAAACAAAAAAAATCAAGTATACTTTTCCAAATTTAGATTTAAAGATTGTACATATGCATTTAGACATGCCTGTTTATGAATCACCACACTTGTTACTTTGTACTGTGAGATATAAAAAATAGGCAAAGAGATGAGCTGCAGGGAAATGTAAAGCATAACTTCCGGGTGCTGTTTTATCTGCAGCACAGTGGCTGCACCTGAACCGACGGCTGCCTCAGATGCTGACTATATCTCTGCAGCCTTCGCTGCCTTGCTGCTGAGGCTGTGGCCCTAGGGCCTTCACCTCCCGCTGCCTTGCCTCTGCTGCCTCCATGTAGAAGAGCAAATTTTTTTTTTTTACTACATCTATATCATTTTATTTTACCAATTAAGACCTGGAAACCAGATGCTAGGGTGAAAACCTACTAGCTCAGAGAGGCAGAGAAAGCACCCAGCTACTTCCTCCTCCCCTGTTGTCCCATAAAGAGGGCTCTCTCCTATGTCATCTGAAACAAAAACTCCTCCAACAGCATGTCCTTCCTGTGCCTCTCTCTCTGATCTCCAGTCTTCCCGTCACTCTCTGTTGTTACTTCTGGTCAACTGGTTGATTGCTCCGTCTCTAGACTGATAGTTGATTTTGTTTAAATGGTACAGTCTAGTCACAGTGTGAGCAAACACCCTGCAACATTTGGGGATTCATTTTAATAAGTTAGATATTTACTATTATTGTACTAGTTTGATAGAGGTACCAAATACAAAGTACCTATGGTGGTTTGAAAGAAAATGCCCCCCCTAAAAGAAGTGGCCATCTGCCAGCGCTTTCTCTTCCCCATGAGTCCTTGTCATCTCTCTGTATGATACTAGTCATATAAGAGACAGCAGCACCTTCTTAAGACCTCCTCTCAACTCAACTAGTTGTGTATGTCTTCAGCAGCTCTGTTTTTAAATCAGAACATTCTCCGGTACTAGGAGTGTCTTCTATTTAAAAAAATTAAATAAACTTTATTATAAAAAAAACTTTCAAATCAAACCATTTCTTTTTATACACATACACAACTTATTCTAATACTCTTGAAAATTTAAAGTGACATAGATAACAGTCTTGAAATAATAAATAATAAAGAAAAGTTAAACCCCTAAATATGCCAGAAACATTAGAGAAAACTGGGAATTAATACTGGTGGCTATTATACTGTACTAAAACTTTAAGTCATTTTATTGACCCTATGAGGGCCATATAATAGCACTAGAATTTATAGATAGGAATCTGAAGTTTAATAAAAGCTAAATAAAATTCTGAAGGCATAGGAGGCAGCAGCATTGTTTTTTTTTTAAATAATATTGTTATTCCTTGAAAATTGCATTTAATGTTATCTTGATCATAGCCACACAAACCTTTTTATAAGGCCTATATGCAAGTGCCCCGGCCACAGACTCACACACACCCTTGAGAACGGGATGGTATCCTGGCCATGGTTGACCTACCAGGGGTCACACCCGTATAGAAAGCTGGCTCTCCCTCTCCCAGCTGCTATCAGTTCCCAGTAACACCTCAACTAGGGATGGGCCTTCAAACACCAAGACCAGAAGAGAAACTCCCATGTCACGTAATCAAACTCTAAAAGTACAGAAAAAGAAAGCAATATTTATCTTCTTATATGACACAGTTTGATCCTTAGGATCGCCAAATAACTTTCCCTCCTTTAAAAATATTCAAAATAAAAAATCATTTATATCTGAGAGTCAGCAGTTTAGTAATTTATACTCAGTATTTCTTCCTTTTCAGAACAAAAAGCAATGGGATGAGAGAGCTGTCTCCGCACGGAGGGGGATGTTTGCTCTGCCGTCCTTAGGAGTTTCAAAGCTGCAGTTTAAGTTCACAGCACAGGGCAGCAGGCAGGGAAGCAAGGAGAGGGTAGCCAGCAGTACAAATTCAGTGTTTCTTAACACTCAGTCTTTTTCATCATACTTAAAATATCTGTCATAGCCAGGCGGTGTTGGCACACACCAGCACTCAGGAGGCAAAGGCAGGTGGATCTCTGTGAGTTCCAAGACAGCCAGGACTATACAAAGAAATCTTGTCTCAGAACCCTCCCTACCCCCCCAAAAAAAAACCTTATTTATAAATCTAATTATTTCATATAATTAGGAATAAACATTTCTAAAATCCTATCTATCTATCTATCTATCTATCTATCTATCTATCTATCTATCATCTATATGTGTGCGTATACCTATCATCTATCTGTCTATCTGTCTACATCTTTGGTAATAAACCAATAGATTAAAGTAGAAAGAATTTTCAAGTTCCATGAACCAGTCTAATAAATCAGCGGTTCTCAACCTCCCCAGTGCTGTAACCCTTTAATACAGTTCCTCCTGTCGTGGTGACCCCAAACATACAAACATACAATTATTTCACGGCTACTTTATTACTGTCATTTTGCTGTTGTTATGAATTGCAATGTAAATATCTGATATGAAAGGATATCTGATATGTGAGCCCTATGAAATGGTTGTTTAACCCTCCCAAAAGGGTCATGACCCACAGGCTGAGAACCAGTGTGATAAATTATGGTTTTGAAGAGATCATGGGAACCCCTACTTTACAGCCAGTTGTTTACAAGTACGAGAGGCCCAGACTTGTGACTGGCCACTTAAGTAGGAAGTTGAAGGAAGCCCTTAACTGCTGGGGTCTGTGCCAATTGGTATTTAAATACTTGCGCACGCACACAAACACACCCCCACACACGCATACACACACACACACACACACACACACACACCAGGTTCAGGGAGCAACCCTATTAATAAATGAAGACAGTTACTTCTGAAAGGATTTTCTCCCTTGGAGAGAGTACTGTGAGAAGGCCTGGTATTGGGGTGTATGCCATTAGCCCCACACTCAGGAGGCAGAGGCACACCTCTGTGTGTTCAAGCCCAGTTTGGTTTACATCGTGAGTTCCAAGTTAGCCAGTAGGATTTCGTCTCATATATATAAATTTCAGGTGTTGTCAAAAACTATACAGTTGTGTCACCTCTGGGACAAACTGGTGTCAAGCAGGGACATGGAATTGCTTTACTTGTTTAAATTTTCCCAACAGTTTCAGTGGGTTTTTTTTTTTTTACTCTATTTATAAAACAACCAAAATGCACCATGTCCCAAATTAGTGTTTAAAAACAACTAATTAACACCAGACAGATGGAAAGTTCCTTGCTGGATCCCAACAACAACAACAACAACAACAACAAACTCTTTATATAATTAAGTACACGGCATTGATAAAAAAAATTTTCTTTTTTAAAAACAGGGTCTCATTCTGTAGCCCAGACTGACCTCAAACTCGCAGTGACTCTCCTGCCTTAGTCTCCCAAGTGCCGAGATTCCTGGCCTGAACCACCAGGCTCAGCTCACAATCTAGAAGGCTGAGGATGAGTGGTCTAGCGCTGGCCTAGCACTAGCGTGGGGGTATGACCTTTGACCTTTGACCTTGTGCTGCTTTCACTCGTCTCTGCCTCTGTTAGCGTTACAGAAGGAAAATTGTTTCTCTCCTCCCCTCCCCCCCCCCACTGCCACCAACTGTTACCTTCACCTGCCCAGAGCAATAGAGACCGCAACCACTGAAAATATTAACAGGGAGATCATAGCTATGTTTTTCCTGGGAAACTATGAAAGGAAATAAGTCCTTTCAAGCAGTCGATTATCTTCTGTGTTTTGCCATAGTGATAACAAAACACAAAAGCTCACGCAGACCTTAGCTAGAAACATGGCATTGCTTCAAACAGTCGGCCCCTACTCCCACTCTGTCCGCGTGGAAGCCCACATGAAATTCCTGGGGCTTGGTTATTAGAAATGTTTCGGCCAAGTGGTGAGTAGGCTCTAAAATGCATCGACTGCCCCGTGGCAGTAAACAACTTACAGGTTGGGCATCCCTTAGTCAGAATGCTCAGGACCACTGTGGTTGAGGTTTGGTTTTGGTTTGGAACTTGGGAAAAATCTGGGCTCGCATAGTAAGATAGGTTGTGGGTACAAGGGATCCAAGTCAAAACACAAAATTCAAATTACGTTTCATACTTACCTCATACACATAGCCTAAAGACAATTTTATACATCATTTTAGCAGGTCTGTGTTTGTGATTCGTCTGTGGCCTCTCATGTGTCGTCAGGTGTGGTGTTTTCTACTTGTAGTGTGCCAACGATGCTCAAAAGGGTCAGACTTTGGAGTGCCAGGGGTTTGTGTTTTCTGATTAAGGGCACTCGGTCTCTAGTAGATTTTTACCTATTACGTTAGCCACTTTTCTCATTGTTCGTTTCTCGACAACCTGAAAATAAGCAGCCAAAGAGAGGCAGGTCTGTTTTGGCTCACGGTGTGAGAGTTCTGTCCATCTATGAAGGGAAAGCATGGCGGTTGAAGCAGCTTGTGGCTGTAGCAGCAGCAGAGGGGAGGCTGCTTGTTCACATCTTGGTAGGAAGAGAAGGCAAAGGGGGACAGGCAGTGGGGCTGGGTTTCAGTTCAAGGTCTTCTCCCAACAACCCAGTTTCTTCATTTAGGCTCTACCTCCTAAACGTGTCAAAATCTCTCAAATATGTCTGTGCCTGCTTGCCTGTAGAGGCCAGAGAAGGCAATACATTCCCTGCAGCCGGAGCCAGCGATGTACATGCAGACAAACGCTGAAACACATAAAACAATAATGGTAAAATTTAAAAAGAAGAAAAGAAATTTGCAATATTCCATCATCCCTGGACAACTGGTATAAAAACCTCCCACATATTCAATGGAACCCTGCCTAGTTCCTTGGTGTTGAGAGCTCACGGCACCCTGGCCTTCCCTCTTCCCCATTCCTCTTCCCCTCCTTTCCCTTTCCTCCACTTCTCTTCTCTTCCCTTCTTTGCTTGCTGCGTCAGAATCTTATTGTGTAACCCAGCAACTCACGTTACATCCTAACAGGACTTCGGGCTTGGTGTCTTCCTTCTTCAGTGTCCCAAGTGCCGGTGTTGCAAACCACTGAGCATGCCAGCCCTGCTCTCGGATTACCTTCCCCATTAGGTCACATCTTCACAGAGAGTCACTTCTTCTCACAGTTCACAGCCAAACACTTCCTGATTTCTTCCCCGGGTAGCAGTCTATAGGCTCCCTGAAGATGGAGATGATACTTGTGGTGATAAAACAGACTTCCTGTTACTCACACTGTGTCTGCAGCCTGGCTTTGTGTGTGAATGAACAGGGCTGGCAGAATCTGGACTGAGATTTGGCAGATAAATTGGAAGACATTGTAGAGAAAGTACAGTCCGATTATATATTTGCATTGGGTAGCAGGGGTGTTGTGAAGGGGAAAAAGCATAGTATTATAATCTCCTAATTTTCCAATGTGTCTTAGATATTTTAATATGTGAACTGTATGTCTGTTAATGGCTATGCTCCTAAATTTCATTTTCTTTTCTTTTCTTTCTTTCTTTCTTTTTTTTTTTTTTTTTTTTTTTTTTTTTTTTTTTTTTTTTT